AGGAATGGCTCAGTGTGGCAAATACTGAGGTACAGAGGTTTGGCCAGATTTGAGAGTGATTACCATGTAGTCTCATATGACTTTTATCCATATGCTTTACTTGTCATTGCCCAGGATTTTAGTGCTTGTGAGCAGCTGGCAGGCTGACCTGCTTTCACTGCCAGATTGTTTTGTGGGTTGTTTTGGGGTTTTTTTTTCCTTCTATTTGATAAGTTAATTTTCTGATCCTTTCCAAATGGGCTTTGCTTGTTTCCCAGGTCTTCTATATGCACAAGTGAGGAACCACATTGTGACCTATTTCCTATCCATTTCCATTTTTGATTATCGTATCTTACGCTCTATGCATGCGTTTGTCCTGTCACTCATCTGATGCCAGTAGGTAAAGAAACGTTCTGAGTGGTTTGGGAAGCCCTACTGCTTATGAGATAGAAATCATTAAATCTGACTCACTCCTTTCTCCCTTCTGCCCCAAGAACAATATCTAACCTCTGTTTTGTAGCTGGTGCCCATAGTCACTTTTTGTGTCTTTCTATGACATGCTCTTCTCTACTTCACGTACTAAATATTTTCAGAAAACTGCACAGAGCCATACTATAGTTTTTAGCTTGATCAACAAATTGCATTTTAGTGGCAATCCAACTTTCATGTCACCCAGCATCCTTGCCAACACACCTGCTCAGAGCATGGTGTTTGGATTAATTAAAAGTTGAAGTATGTAACGTGGAGTTGTTTGTGGTTTAGTTTTGCATGGCTGTGCTGATAGGAAAGGCAAAATGATTCAGTGGCTTTCCACCCTCTGCTTTTGAAATACATTTGATGTCATGCTGAGAGAGAAGAAAAAGCAGTGGTTAAATATTGCAGTGGTCACAATACTGAGATTCAGATTGCTCATTAGAAGAGTTTTAAATAAGAGCTCATTTGCTTCATGTATTATTGATTTAGAGGGTGTTCTCTAGACATAGTTCTATAGCTGAGGCAGACTTTTTTTCACTGGTAAACTTTGATGAAAACAAGATCAACTTGATTTAATGAAGTAATAGATGCAGAGTCGATGTGCATACAAACATGTCCAGATTTCCCAATGTACATCTTCTCTTAAAATTTCTATTTTCCGTAACATGGAATGATGGCTACAGGAGATGAAAGGAACATAAAATGATTAAAACCAGTAGACAGGTGCAGTGGTGTGAAATCATTGCCCTGCAGACAGGAATGTGTTACAGTTTTCTACAGAAAAATATATTCCAAGACTGGCGCTTGTATTCCAGTTCCTATTTTAGCTGAAAACAGCAATAAACGTGTTTTATGAATGCTGACCTGTTGAGAATTTGTGGGGGAAGTTACCGCAAGCTCTTCTCTCACCAACTTCTTTTCAGTACTCCATGTGTAGCAATGGTTCTTCCCTGAAAACAACAAATGTCTTTTATTTGAAGGTGTTGTAAAGCTTTGAACCAAATGTCAAATTTCTCATTTCATGTTATAAACCCAGAAGGAATTGTTGTCATAATCCAAGCAAACGCCATAAAATAAGTTACAGGATTTAACATTAAGTTACTTGTATGCTTATTTACACATTTTACTTTTTTTTTTTTCCAAGGAACCGGAAGCACAGCTGGTTTGTACATCTACCTGGGGTCTGGTAACTTACAGTGAGCTAAGCCAATAAGTTAGCTGTTTGCTAGTACGCTTTGGTCACCAGTACAAAACTAACATTTTGTTTTCCAATTTGATGTCCTGACAAGAAATGAATACGAAGAGTGGTGAGGGTTACCTTATTGAGTGTCTAAGTGCATAGTGTGGGAAACATCAATGGAGTAATTTTTAAGTCTGCAGCATCCTAGCTGGTGTCAAGATTCAGACTGCCAGTAATTGTTGAAAAGTGCTCCCTTCAGTGAGAAAAGATCAAATACAGTGTAGGTGATGCTGGTGCTTTCATGGTGTTACGTTTGTTGAGGGAAAGGAAACGTGGGTGGCGTGTTGGCTGCTGTCATACTCACAGTACAAATAGAGATCTGTGCAAAACCAGGGGGTCTAAAAATGACCTTGGAATTACAGTCTAATATCGCTTCGAAAATTACTTTCAAACTGGTTTTCTTTAAATGTAGCCTTGCTAAGAACGACGGAGTGAAACTTGATGTTTCTAGCCACTTCTCTGCCCTGGGAAGTCAGAAGTCAGATGAACAGAAATAGCCAGGCGGAGATGCCGTATAGTCAAAGGGAAAGGCAGCACTGTTTAATCCTGCCTCCCACTCTGCTCTCAGTCTCTTCCTTCACCTTTTCGTAGCTCGTACATACATTTTTCTTCCACAAAATCCAGAAGCCCATAATTAATACAGGTCTTCTTCCTCTCACCAGCTGCCCTTTCCCTCCCACCCTCCATCCTTCCTATAGAAAGCTTACCTGGCTGGGTTTCCCACCAGCAGCTCAGCTGTGGCAGCAGTCTTACTTATCCTACACCCTTCCAGATGTGTCCTTGGCACAGCAGGAAAAATACAGTGATGAACATATTTTGCCTCAACATATTGTGTGGCAATATGTAATGGCCTTCAGGTGAAGTTATTAGCAATATCTCACCTTTTGTGTTTTGTACGGTTTTGCATTCCATTTTATGAAAACAAACATGCAAGCTTTCCTCCTTTTTGCATGAAATAGAAGGCAGAATGGTACAAAAATCATCAGCAATAGAAATCACGCTTTCCCAGGCTCGGGTGTACTCATTCATTTATATTGCAGATGACTGATGCCATAGCTAAAGCTGATGCATTGTCCCATGCAGACAGGGTTGCTGGCTAATGGCTAGATGGAGCTGGTCGGTGGGAATCTTAGCTGCGATGCAGTCCAAGCTGCCAAGATTCCCAGCGTTTCCAAGGATATTTGCCAAATTGTCTCTGCCGGGGTTTTACGCTGTCAAAGCTGATAGCTTTCTCACTGAGGTAGCAGTTGAAGGCTTCGAGGTATTTTTAGGCAAACTAGCCAATTGGTTCTCTTGCCGACTTTTAGTTGGCAGGTTAAGTGTTTTAGTTTAAGACAAAAATTCTGGGTGCATCTTCTTAGGAAGGGGGGAAAGAATGTGTGACTAATTTTTGTAACAGTGATAATTCCTATGTAAAATCATGATGAAAATAAGCAGCGGACTTACTTGTTACGATAAATCCTGTGGCGTGTCACGGTCTTCCAGCTCATTTAAAATACAGTGTCTTTGTTAACTGGGATTTTTAACTTATTCTGTTAGTTTTCTGTTTTTTTTCAATTCCTAATTCATTCATTTATAAAGGCTTACAGCTTGCAAGGGGAAGGAGGGGAGAATTTGGGCACTTTCCCATGGGAAAGTAAATGGAGCTTCCCAAAAAGAAGATTTTTTTTTTTTTGGTTAATATTTTTTTTTCCAAACCAATCATTTTCTTAGTCATTATTTACATACTTAAAACTTAAGGCAGAATTTTATCAGTATTTTTTAATATATGTAAAGTGTTACATGGTTTTTAATGTGGATTTCTAATGTACATTTTGTAACGTTTAAGAGGTTTCCGTGTTTTCCTAGCAAATGCAAATTAAGTTAGACTGAGGTATAACTGAATTATATCTGCTTAATAGATTAGGAGAATTATTTTTTGAGAGAATGACTTCCTTATTGGATCATTTTTGGAGCCTTGTGGAAAAGGGTGCACATCTCTCAGAACTTCACAACACCCTACAGAGAGACCAAAGCTGATGCTTTCTTCTGCGGGTGGTATCTCCAACGGCATCCTGGCCTGTATCAGAAATAGTGTGGCCAGCAGGAGCAGGGAAGTGATAGTGCCCCTGTACTCAGCACTGGTGCGGCCGCACCTCGAATACTGTGTTCAGTTCTGGGCCCCTCACTACAAGAAGGATGTTGAGATGTTGGAACGTGTCCAGAGAAGGGCAACGAGGCTGGTGAGGGGTCTGGAGAACAAGCCTTATGAGGAGCGGCTGAGGGAGCTGGGGTTGTTTAGCCTGGAGAAAAGGAGGCTGAGGGGAGACCTCATTGCTCTCTACAACTACCTGAAAGGAGGTTGTAGCGAGGTGGGTGTCGGTCTCTTCTCCCAAGTAACTGGCGAAAGGACGAGAGGAAATGGCCTCAAGTTGCGCCAGGGGAGGTTTAGATTGGATGTAAGGAAAAATTTCTTTACTGAAAGAGTAGTTAAACATTGGAACAGGCTGCCCAGGGAAGGGGTTGAGTCCCCATCCCTGGAAGTATTTAAAAGACGGGTAGATGAGGCGCTTAGGGACATGGTTTAGTGGGCATGGTGTTGTTGGGTTGATGGTTGGACTCGATGATCTTGGAGGTCTCTTCCAACCTTTAATGATTCTATGATTCTATGATTCTATGTGGTGAACAAGGACTAGATTTCGGGAAAGACTGAAATGTTGCTGGCTGCTGTGTGCATTCGTGGCTAAATAAAATACCAGTATTTCGCATGGTACTAGGTTCGTCAAAAGGACACCTCTCTTCATCTGTCAAACCCTATTTTCACTTCTCAGTATTGGGTGGGAATTGGTTATTATTAGAAGCAGCAAAAATGGTATGTAAATTGTAGAATTTGAGCTGTACATTAGAGTACTGGAGGGAATGAGTTAAAGCTTTAGCTAGTGTGGGAAACTTTTGTGTTGCGTGTCACTTTTCTGTTGCTCCACATTAATACAGCAGGCTTTGCTTATGTGAAATAAAAGGCTTTTAATTATTGCTGCTTTTCTTCCCGTCTATATAGAGAAATTGCTCATAAAAACATCAGTTGAATTTTTAATTAGGAAAAACCTTCATAGAAAGTCCTTACAGAAATAATAAGCTCATTTAATTCTTTTAGGGGAGTGGAAAGAGATGGGTGGAAGGGAAAATTCTTCAAAGATCAGAATTTTCTTTTTGTTTAAAGAAAGTAATTAGATTTTTTTTTTCATGAAGCACTTCTGACTATTTTTTAACTCTTCCATAGACTCCTTTTATACTTGCTTAAAAAAATCCCAAAACTTCTCTTTTTCAGAATTTTGACCCCCACCAGTAGTTTCCAAGATATTTGGACCCTCTATAACTTCCTCATAAGCAATGAGGTATGACGTTTTCTTTAATGTTTTGTCAGATACATTTCTGTCACAGTTTTTTATTTAAAGTAGTTACGAGGTTAGCTGTCTCATCATTGAGTTTCCACTAAGCTAGAATTTTGAAGATTTGCTCTTATTTATTAGGAGTTGGACATAAAAACATATTTTTACTTGGTACCTACCAAAAGCTATTTGAATCTCTGCTGGTATTTGAGTTGCTTGCGTGCCTTTCTGAGCACTCATTTGTTGTGAATGGCTCGCTGTAGAGAGTAAAAAGTCTTGAAGCTGAAGTCACCAAAACATCCCTGACCTAGTCCTTTTAAGAAGAGAGCGAGCGAGTACATTGCGTTAGGTAGTTCTACGGAGAATATTGGCTGCGGTTCAGAGGAAAAAGATAAATTGAAATTACCAGTTATTCATGAAGTTTTCACTCATTAACTCATTTGTGCTGAAAGGTTTAAAGAAGAGAAATTGAAATGAATGTCTGCAGTAGAATAGAGGTATTTTTCCATTTAGTATATTATGTATTTCAGATTTGCAGTCTTCTCCTATACAGGAAAATATATTTGACTTTTGGGCCTGTACATATAGGGTGACTATATTTATGGAATTAATGCGAGTCAGAACTTATTTCATTTGCTATAGAACTACAGGGTAAATTAAGAGGGGAGGAAGAATTATTTAAGTTCTTTTAGATTTGTGCAGAAATTGTTAGAAAAGGGAGCTGGAGTGATATCTATGACTCCCATTATATACAATCATTACGGTTAATTTGTAATATTTGATTTTATACTACAGCGCATTACTTTTTTTATGTACTGTCTCAACTTGAGAGCCTGTTAGGTAATATGTTAACCATATCTGTTATACCAGCTGTATAATTGTAATCGATATGTGATACGTGGTAAATTACTATGTTAATTCTTTGTTCTTTGTTTTAGATAAATAACAGTATAAAATTCACTGCTGAGGAGCTTTATGAGTGTGTTTCACAAAAGATATATCGGTAAGCCAATTACTGACCACATCAGGTGGGTTTTGGGACAGTATTTTAGCATATACTGTATTAACCAAAGTACCATAAAGAGAAATCGTTTAGATAAATAAAAAAATCACCGTTGTAGGAGGGGCATAGGGAAGATGAGTGAGGATGTTTTCTCCCCCCCTCCTCCCCCCCCCCTTTTTTTTAATGACCTACTATTGCAACAGAGTAGGAGAGGACAAATTAAACTAGAAATGAGCCATTGGCATCTACACAGTGATTTTCAGCTGTTTGACTTTGAGGTGAGATGTTTTCCCTCTTTCCTCTACCAGTTTTGAATTCATGGCTTAGTGGCAGACAGAGCCAGTGTAGGTCAGCATTCATTGTAAGGTAGGTTAGAGCATAAGACTGCATTTAAATGAATTTGATTATAACTGAAATTCTGTTTTGGTGAGGTAATTCTTGTAACAGAACTCATTATTATGAGAACTTTGCTTAAATCAGCAGAGGAAAAAACCCTGAGATTCTCAAGTGATTGAACTGTACCATGAAAACTGGGCATATCTGCAGTTGCTGTGCTACATTGTGGCCATCGTTATTAAAGTCATAAATTAAACCATTGTATGTTACTAAGCCATTTGTAAGTACAGTTGGAAAAAAGGAGAAACAAACGTAAGGTTCCAAGTACTTGCTTCCATTTTAGGAGGCTTTTTTACAGTTCAGTCACAGGAAAATAATTCTGTTGTACAGCTGAGTTAAAGGCCTTGAAAACATTGATCTAAAAATCTACAGTTTTTTACTGTAAAGTTTCTGGTTCATAAAAGGTTTCTTTCTGAATTTGTGTAATTGAGGGCTTGTAAATCCAGGTTCTGTGAGGTTTTTGAAAGGCCATAATGTTTTTTAATGAATTTTAAGTGGATAATAAAAGACAGGTAAATATTTTCTTTGATGTTCCTGTTATATGGATGTGAATTAGCTGTAACTTGCCAGGATATGAAGCATGGTTCCATCAGCCGCATAAAAGGCTTGCAGATTATTTTAATCTGAGTAGGCAAATTATTCTAAAAAGCTTTCCTTTGCCTGGGTTGATAATGGATTTCCCAAATCTTCTGTGAATTTGAAAGGGCAAATTGCTAGGTCAGGGGAGAAAAGGTACGCAGGGAGGGAGAGATTCAATCCATGTATCAGTAGAGAAAAGTAGTTTAGAAGCTTAACTGGCTTGAGTTGGTGACCCGCACGTCTGTAGTTCTCACTTTTTCAGACATTTGTGGGCATCTCCATTATTGTCTGTATAAAATCTACAGCGTACATACAGCCTTTGGTATTGTGTTAAGGGTAGCAAGGGAACTGCAGTTTCTTGATGTTTGAAAGGTGTCCCTAGGTCCGTATTTTATCAGAAAGCCTGAAAATGTGGACCATTGTCGTGAATTCTGTGTGCCACAGTAGATTTCACGGCCAAAACAAATGTTCTCACCAGAACTTTCATTTTCTGGATGAGTGGTACAGGGTGAAGGTGATATTTTTGTTACATATAAGTTATGTCCTTTGAAAACATATAAAGCAAATGAAGCAAAGAATAAGATCTGTTGTTATAAGTTCAATCCACAGGTTTTCAAAGTACTTCTTATGTCTAATTGTTGTTCTCAGTTATTACAGCAATGAACCTACTTGGTATTGCAGAAGTGAAATAAAATATGACTCCACCCAATAAAGCAGAGATGCTAAATGAGGTTTTAAAAGCACTCAATTAAGAAGAGATGTTCCAAGAGAGAGACTGCTTTAAGGCAGGCTGAATTACTTGTGCTTCAGCAGAAACATGCTGAACAAAGTGTTTCCCCTTGCTTCAATTACCAGCGAATGTTTTTACTTCAACCTAGCCTCTGAATTCTTTGGGAGATAAATTCCTGTCTAGAATACTTGTACTCCGACTGTTCCTTTTTCAGGATACACCAAAGATGCTCTCATCTTGAAATTTTCATCCAAAGGGTTTCTCCTTATCTGGAGAAGGAAAAGGACTACTTGAAGCTAAATACCCAAAGCTACATGCACAATTCTCACTGCTTTTATATCCCTAAGCGGTACTATAGGCTTTGGTATCACAGTAGCATTTAGAAGATGCCAGCCAAGGACTAGGGTCCAGATCTTTAGGATATAAATGGAACAAAAAGACTGACCCTGCCCCAGAGATCAGCTGTAACAATGTTTTGCATCTTCAACAAATTCACAAAGTAAGTTTTTCCATCAGAAACTCTTACATGACTTTTTTTTTTTTATTTATTTTTTCTGAACTTGCCTGCTAGTCGCCTGGCAGATTCCAGTCTTCCTCTCATAGATCAGAGTAGCATTGACCTAAGACCTCTCCTTTTTTGGTGGGGTCCTCCCCCCCCGGCCATTGCTTCCACATGTCCCCTGTCCTTATATTGGTAGAGACTTGAGATGTGGTGAGAGCAAAGCCCTGTAACAAGACAAAAACTCTCCATTGTACTGAGTCAGATCTGTCACAGTTACACATCGCTGTTAGGGGTCGAAGCAGTAGCCTGCGAGGGAGGAGACAGGGTTACACAAAGGTAGCAAAGGGCAGGCCTGGCCACTAATTTCTTCCTCGGTACAGATTCTTCAGGTCTGATAAAGCGGGTTTATGAAAATCATAGCCTGGTGAATCTTCCTTAATTGGAATGAAGTTTTTTCCCTTCTGAACAATGGGAACAGGCCACAGTCCTGAGCTGCTTCATCAGAAGAATTAGGTAGATTATGGGAGGTTTAGTTAAAGCCCTCGTTTCTTCCTCCCTCCCTTCCCATTCAAGTGTGCACTGTGGGCAGTAGAATTGCTGGATTGCAAGAAGTGTTTCAGAGAGGTCACTGTTTTTTATGGCAAGCAGCTAATGTGCAGACTTAAAGTTACCCATTTAGTACTGTCTAAGGCTTTTGAGTTTTCACTGTTGACCACTGAACAGTTTGTACCATTTAATAAATGACAATTTGATGGAAAGGATAAGTGGTAGAAAGAATTATTCAGGCTTTGTTTTGCAAGCGTCTGATCTTGTCTGAACTAAGAAAATATATTTTTTAGAGGCCTGGGTGTCTAAGTAGATTGCTTGAAAGCTATGCATGACTTTTCTACTGCTCTTCTTGCTCTTCTACCTGGTTGCATCTACCTCACAGTAAACTAGCAACGGAGGTGGAGGTGACTGTGTTAGGCAGTGGCTGGGAAGACGCCGATGCCTCGGGTCTGGAATGGGCACCACCATCCACACTGGATACCAGTGTGCTCGATCCCTCCAGCCAGGCGTTCCCCTGCTAGCCAAGGAGAGCACCCTGTGCCTCCCCTCGTCCTACCGACCGTGGGGCCAGATTTCGTCTGTGGTGTGGCCAGAGCAATGGTTTGGTTTATTGTCCTGATACATAGTCTGTGGTGATCAAGCGTGGGACTGCCTGGCGGATACCCTCGAGGAGTACTAACCGCATCATTTGCAAACCTTATCCCATTTCCTGTTCCTTGGCAGTCCTTTTCAGTGTCCTGTACCTCCCTTTCTGCCAGCCTGGCACAGCTTGGTGTCCCACACCGGTGTCCCACGTTTCAGTGGAAGTTATTTGCAATCCAGTATCCACCACTGTGTTTTTGAGGGCACAGAAACGAGCTCTCTTGACCCGTTTAACATTATTTGTAGTTGGTGTAGCATCTACATTTGAATTAACCTGTCGCACTGTTCTTGGGTCTAAAAGTCTGCATGTAGTATTGTACTAGTTACCGTTTTGCCTGTTACTCAGCGCCCACTAGAATAACGAAGGGAAAGTTTTAATTACGGTAAGGGTAATGAAATATTCGTGTCTCAGCCGAGATATTTTTCTGCGCTAGTTTTTAAGAACTCTTCTTGAAAACTGTCAAGGCACTCACTGCTGCGGAGGGTTTATAACTTGTACTGCTGAGGTGCCCCAATGTTCGCTCTTGTTCTGTACGCAGACTTGACTGGTAGGCCGTGTGTGTGCTTACTACTGGTTGCCCAGTAGTGCCTTGCTCTCCAGTGTCGAAACTGAGTCGAGGTGCAGTTTGTAGCTGATGAATGGAGCTCATTCATCAGGAGGATGGATGGTCTTTCATCAGAGGAGCTGTGCCAGTGCTATAGGTTATTGCCGGAGAAATGCTATACATTGAGGCTGCTCTTTGTGACAGAATTCATCTCCTGCTTTGTTGGGCTGGTTTGCCAAGCTTATGTTACTTGTGAGGGCAAAAAATACTGGGAGGGTACAGTGCATATCCTTTTAAAAGCATCTCTTAGTTTGAATTGTATTGAAAATATATTAAAAGAAGTTGATTAAGTAAAAAAACCAAACAAATACAGGTGTTGGATATAGATCTGCATCGATACAGGCATAAAGAAAATAATGGGTGTAAATTTGTGCTCAGCATAGTAAAATAAAAGTATTTCAGAGGCTGGTCTGGTAGCCCTCAGGCTGCACTTGTGTGACTTAACCTTGCTTTTTTTCCTCTTTTTTTGAGGAGTACCTTCTAAATGGTCTTGTTGGGAGGTATCTTTTGGAAAACCAAAGTTACAGAATGTTTTCTATGTAATCTGGTTTAAATTCCTCTTTTGAAACAAAAGTCTAAATAATAAATCAGTGTAGTCAAGAGATTTATTTTGTGTTTAAATACATGATATGTAAATATGTGAAAGACTGTTTGAATTGAACCTTCCAAAAATCCCCATTCTGTCAAGAAAGCTGATATGAGTGACCTTTCAACACTGATTATTTTTTAAAACTACCTTTACGTAATACAGTGAAAAGCCAAAAGTAAAAAGGAGCTCTGCCTTTTCGCTGAGTTGTGGTTTGGCTGTTTTAAGGTGTTCCGGTAAAATCCTTGATTTTAGGAGCTTTAGAGCAAAAGTCACTGCTACTTCTTGGGTTTTATGGAAATTGCCTTTTTGATTATACACATCACAACTGTATAGTTTTGTCTTCCACCATATCCCCTTTTAGTTACAAGTTGTATTAAATTGTATTTTGAGTCAGGACAACGGGTTTCAAGCTTTGTAGCCACTTTCCTAGCAGGAAAGCAGCAAATAATTCCTAGTAGCGGCTCCTCCTCAGAGGTTACGTTTGGCTGTGAATACCAGAGACGGGCCTGCAGAAATCACCCAGCGGGTAACGCGTAGAGCAGTTGCTGTTTCATCAGTAGCTTGTGTGCCGGGGGGCTATTATGAGGGTGTGAGTCGACAGGAGGGATACACAATACTAGGGGCAGAGTGCGTGCTTCTTTTCCCCAGGGGGGTGAAGGGGAATTTTTGCATCTCTTGCACATCATGCTCGTACAAGCAAGAACGTAAACATGTGCTAATTGTTTAAAATAACAATTTTCACATATGCATGAGGTCATTTTTTTAAACTCTTAGAATTCAGCTGCCTTATCTGTGGTTGATTTTTTTTTCTCCCCAAGTGCAATAGCAAAGATGTTTGCAAAATACTCTAGCTTAAGTGTAGAAGTGAGGATTTATTTTTTTTCTTGCCATTTACCATTTAACCAATTTTAGCATCTAATTCCAAGTTCAAATAGAAAACCAGGAGCAGGTATTTTGGCAATTTTACCGCTGCAAAAAAGGCAGTCTGCACAGGGAAGACTGGTCAAACTGTGTGAGCAAATGCAGCAGACCTGCAGTGGTTCAGTGTCTGCACGTGATTTTTATGAAACTAGGCATGGGAAAATGACATCCTGGATCTGGTAATTTTGCCAAATTTTATTAAAGCACTCTGAAGGATGGAAGCTTTGTTTCGCTGTCTTTCAGAAGAACATTGAAATTGGAAAGGGTTTTCATGTGTTGAACTAGAGTGGCTGGGGTTTTTAAATTTAAAACCCTGTCCAGCTTTGCCAGCCTGCCATATGTTCCAAAACAGGAATCGCTGCGGTTACTGTAAATGCACGTTATGGGGATTTTTTTGTTTCCAAAAAAATGTTTCTTACAGTACTTTTTTTCTCAGTGCAGGTGTCCCATATTGAACATGTGACCATAAGTCCCTTTTGGAGTAGCTAATTCAAACAATATTTAAGTTGTAGGAGCATAAGCTTGTAAAATATCTCTGATTGGTGACACTCTGCAGATTACCAGAAAAATTACAGGCGTCAGGCATGTGTGAGAGGAGCAGGACTAGCTGCAGACTGAAGTCGGATTATCCCAGAAGCCTAAAATCAGTCTCTGACCGCATTGTAACTGTGTCTATCTGCAATACATACATAAACCTTTAGGAAATGTGTAGTTGACTTGCAGCTTAAATGCGTAAAAAACAGTAACATTTTGTAATACTAGTTGAAGGCTCAGGTTTGGGTTGAGAAGACTGAACTAACATTTGCTGTGTGGCTCTTGGATTGTTCCTTCTTAAAGATGTCACTGCCAGGATACAGCAATGGTTAGCCAGCTCTGTAATAAACTTCATCTTTTGCTACAAAGATAAAAATATATCTGGATTTCCAGAGATACTGAGTATTCTCTGCTTTTGACAGAGTTAAAGCGCGGTATTAAAGTCCCTTTGAATTTTGTTTTAAAGGAATATATGGAAAGATCCCCGTCTATAAAATGGGTCCGTTGTGTCCTGATAACCTTTGTATCTTCTCTTCCCTAGGGAAAGGTTAGAAGTTGGATGTTGCCAGCTGGCCCAGCTGGAACACGCTATTAAGCAGTGTCACGCATCGGTTCACAGGGAAGCCAAGAACAGGGGCTGGCTGTGACACTTGGGTCAAGGTTTGGAGCTGAGGTGCTCACCCCCTGCGTTTTCCTGTCCAACAACTCCTCTGGTGCGTGTGAGGGAAATATTCGAGGAACCAAACATCTGCCTTCTTTTTTCTCGATGGTGCTGTTTTGTATTTGAGTTGAAGGAAAAAACCAGCTAGTTACATATGTACATTAAATGTCAGAATTCCTGCTAAGAATCGCAAGCTAATACAATTTTCTGTCTCAAGTGAGGGGCTCTGGCTTGATACAGCTGGTCTGGTATACAGCAGACGTGCTGGGCTGCTCTTCTAAATTCCAAACGTTCGTGTTAGGACCTAGGTCTGTTAATGGCTCTACAGGAAAAATCCGTGTAAGGCATTTGTTTTGCTGGTACTTGAGAAGTGACAAGTGAGAAAAAATATATTGTGATAGCTGGGGGTCTGAAAGGACTGAGAGGAAAGCAGCCGAATAGAAAGCCAGATACCCGTGATGCTTGCTGCCCCTACGGATACGAAGGACTAAAACGCGGATGCAACGCATGCATCCTATGTAGTGAACTGTGTAAGCCTTAGGAGAGGATATAGAATGGGGAAAGAAAGGGATTGATGCTTTTTTTTTAAACAAAACAAAAAAACCACCCTCATGCAGGTGTGTTTGTCCTGGACCTCTCTTCAGAGGAAAGGGATGTTTTTCGTTTGTTAAAACATCTACTTAATCTTCATACATCTGAAACCTGCTAGCAACACTCCTTTGGAAAACTCCTCATCCTTCTCTTTTGCCACCTTCTCTTGCAAAGGCACGAGTGGTTTTTCCCTCCGGGGGTTATACTCCGTGACTCGCCTCGGCTCGGCTCCCCAGGTGACATCTCTATCTGAATGTACTGGTGGTTGCTTCCCGAAACTGCTTTAAGTCTGTGAAACTTCCTAAAAGCCATTTTCAATGCTGCTGTGGCCTTGAAAGCTACCTCTTCTATGTATGTATTTGTACAGAGATGAGATGACCGGCAAAGTTCTAGAAGTGTTTATTTTGATATTAACTTTTGGATGCATTTGTAAAATCTTTATTGTAAAAATTAATTTATTGTTATAGTAAATGGCAGTTAATTCTACATGGCAGTTTCTTTGAATGGCTCTATTTTCACTTTGCCCAATTACTGTGGCTGCAAGTCTGATGCCGCTCTTGCCCCAAGACACTTGAAAGTGGGAGAGAAGTGGGTTGGTAGAGTTACTGTCAGAGCAAAATTCATTTTGAGGGATATTGCCATTCAAGTTGTAATCCCACAACTGTGGGATAAGCTTATTTGAGCATAACATACTGATGTTGGTGATTCGTATCATCCATCTAGGAAGCTAGATCAACGTAAGGCCATGATGTCCGTCTGTCTTAGCTTGCATCTACTTTTGATCCACTTCAGGGGAAGACAGCTGACACAGATTAAGACAACTACTTTCTATTTTCTCATACTGGCTCTCCCTGTTCAGCTGCACCCAGCCTTACAGCTTGGAATAATCACTACATTTCTTGGGTCTGATGTTTTCCTCCTCCAGCATGTAGGTG